AAAATACATTTAATTATAATTTGTTTTTATTTGAGATGCAAAATTACAATTTAAATTTTTATATTCAAATTTTGTTTAGCATATCGTTTAGACTAAAAAAATCTTCTAAAAGTCGAATAATTAATATAATAGTAAGATATTATATTTTAAGTAAAATGATAGACATTCAAGTGATTTGCCTTGTATCAGACCAGCGGTCATAAACATAAATCTAATTTAGTACCATAATTTCTAATTTAGTAATGTCTTCCAATTGACTAAATGCATTAAAATATGACTCCACTCATTAACATATCACATAATTAAAGGGTTTTAATTTTTCTTAAACTACATATTTTGTCAATGAGTAGACCCGACACGACATATTTAATAAACAAGTTAGGTATAAATGAAATCAATAAAAAAAAATGTAACCTGATTCTTTTAAATTTCAATTATACATGACATAAAATCGATATAACATGAATTTTTGGAGATACATAAGTGGTTGAATAAGCAAATCCTCTTAAAATTACCTTGCCATAAGTTGTTGACACAATGGGTAAGAATTTGAATTTTTTTGTTCAATGCTTGAGTTTGAGTCTCCATAGATACGACAGTTCATTGGGGGTCAAACCTACTCTTCAGACACATGGTGGGACGTAAGCTATTTGCATATCTTTTTGTGTACCAAAAATAATTTTTTTTCTTGTAAATTATACATTCTTCAAACTATGATCCTTGTGTCAATTAAGTCTCTAAATTTTTTTTTGGTGTCAATTGAGCCCCTAAACTTTCTAATTGAGTCATTTAGTTTGCCTCGTTTAGATTTTTTAACAAAAAGTAGTGAAATTGTGCCACTCACGTGACACAAATAGTTGAAGTAAATTATATATATAATCCTTAAATTATAACCTTTGTGTCAATTAAGTTTCTAAATTTTTTTTGTGTCAATTGAGTCCCTAAACTCTCTCATTGTGTCAATTGAACCATTTTGACATTTTGTGTTATATAGTCACGTGATTTGCCATACACAAACGGAGACAAACAAAAGGGTTTAATTGACACACACACACAAAAAAAAAGAACTTAATTGATGCAAAATGTCATAATTTGAGGATCATATATATTTACCAATGAGCCTTTAGTCCAGTGATACTCTTTATTTTATAAAGGTTTTGCCTTCTTGAGATCAAAGAGTTCAAGTCTCCCTCCCTTCCCCCCCCCCCCAAAAAAAAAAAAAAGAAAAAGAAGAGGGTTATATGTATAGGTTAGTCAATTTTTTCTTCATCTTTCCTTCCACAATTCTTGAAGATGCACAAAAGTGAATTTATACACCACTTGTCGAGTAATTAATAGGTAATAAATGCAGTAAATAAAAAAGTGAGATCTACACAAGTAACACACAGATGTATAATGGTTTGATCAGAGTAACCTACTCCACTTTAAAAACAACAACGATGGTTGGTAGTCTTTATTAATGAAGTAGCAGGTCAGAGACAACGGTGACTAGTGGTCTTTAATGATGAAGTAGTAGGTGAAAAAGAGAGAGCAACAATATGTTGTTGGTAGTTATGAGAGAGATAGTTGTGTAAGATGTGTAGAGAGATGTTGTGTAAGGTGTGTAGAGAGATATCTTTCCCATGTGAAGAGAGTTTATAATTTATAGGCACAGAGCCTTAGTTGAGGCGGTGGTTGTAGAAGATAAGTTTCTAGCTTTTCGAGGAGGATAACTATAATTAGAATAGGTACAATTAGAGATAGTCTTGATCTTGAAAAAAGACTATCCTAATGATTACTCCCCATGTACGCTAATATTCTTGAATCCCTTGAACTTTGGATTGGGTCGAATCCACTAACTGGGTTTGATCTGCCTTGTAGTTAATTTGAGCTTAATTAATTGGGTCTGACCCAATAAAATCTAGGCTCATCAATTCCCAATAAATCATAATCAAAATACTTGAAATCAAAATGGTTGAGTGACAGATTTTAAAAGCTCTTATTACTTGTCAGATGAATAAGCGACCTATAAGATTGATAATAGAATGCATTTAATGTTGTAGCGGGTTTTATCATTAAATGCATTTCGCTATTAATTTATTAGTCATAATCTATTACCTTCTTAAATATGTCTCTTTTTTTTTTTGAAATTACTCTAACCTAACTATTGATTCTAATAGAGTCAAGGTCAAGTAGAGGTATATTAACAAACACACACCCGAAGTTATCTGATGTGGGATAGTCTAGTCTCCCAACACTCCGGCGTGATTATTATTATTGCAGGACCTCTGGCCCAAAGTGTGAGATTTTAGCTCAACACCAAATACCCCAATAGTAGAGCGATGACTTTTTTGAAATTACTTAAATATGTCTCTCAATTATGCCAAAGTAGCATTAGTGATAAAAAAAATCTAAAAATAAAATAAAATAAAATTTTAACACCAAACCTGCCGTTGCCAAACGTCAAGTTCTCTCCCATTGTGGATCTGATGAATAATTTCCGAAAAGATAAATTAAATTTGGTGAGGGTAACGTTACTCAATTAAATTACTTCAGTCAAAACTTCCTTAAGAATTATTGGACACGTGGCATTTGTCCATTATCCCAGTCAAATTGCCGGCTACGCATAACTCCAGAATCCGAGGATCATAAACAACACTTCCAAGTTCCAACTTCAAAATTCATCTTTGTCTGTTAGTGTCCAACGTTTCTCTTTCATTTTTTCCTTTTAACATTAAAGTCAAAACCAATCCAATCCCAAACTACCCTCACCTTTCCCTGCATAACAACAAAAACGACCCAACCCAGAAGGTCATTTCAGAAATTTCACAACACCATCAACCATAAAATCCTGATCTAGTAGAATATCGGCCAAATTTTTTATTATTTAAAAATATAAATTTTAAAATTTATATTAAAGTTCGATAATTGACCGTTATGTTAAATTAATTAAATTTATTTTTAAAAAATTTAATAGATGTAATTAAAGATCTCATAATTTTACCGATAAAAATTTAAGATTGGTATATAGCGACTATTTTTCTCACCTCTCTTGAAATAATAACCATGAAACCCTCACTCCGCCGGCATAAAATCTATTATGCCGCCACGTTTCAGATGTTTGTTTTTCAGCATCAACCATTTCGATAACTGCCAAACATACCTTCGTATCTCCAATTATCTCAACAGATCAACATATCTCTCTCTCTCTCACACACACACACACAATGAAGGCGGACCACGGTGAATTCATAGTTTCGGATCAATCTTCAAAGCTACGGCGATCAAAGTCACGTGACGTGAGCTCTCGCTTCCTGTCACCGACCTCCACACCTTCGATCGAAAGTGTAATTCCATCTCCAAACCGCACTCTCTCTCCTTTCCGGCAAAAACCCAGAGCATTCACGGACAGCCGAGCCCACCGGAGCCTTGAAGCTTCAGGTTTCATAGGTGGACTCTGGCCATCTTCTAGTGCACCATCATCATCCCCTTCAAATAAAAAAACAGGAACTCTCGCTGATCATCTTGGAAACGATAGACTCAAAGACCTTCTCGATCATGACAAGTCCGACAACTCGATGTTTCTTAACAGACAGAGAAGCTGCACAGAGCTTAGTAGGATTGAGAATAAGAAAGAAAGCCCGAAAGAAAACCATAAACCGTCCTTTGGTGGATCTATGACGTATACCGGAAAATTTCGTTTTCCGGGTCGATCATCGACTTCATCGTCGTCGAAAACTTCGAGTTTAGTTGATGATCATGATCCTATAGTTCCAGGAAGGTTATCGGTCGATGAAAATGCGCTTCGCCGGAAGCTATTTGGACGAAGGTCTGACTTGTTTTCTGATATACAAGACCCAGAGGCCGACAGCAGTGACATTAACATATGCTCCGGCACGAGTTTGGGATCGTTAGTGGCCGGAAAAAATTCGCCGGCATCATATATGGCACCGACGGTGAGTTCGAGAAAGGCCGGCATAGAAGCTTCATCAAAGTGCTTGAATGATTTACCATCAAGGTCTCGAAGATGGACTGTTGATTCACCCTCACAACATCCAATATCATGGGATAATTCTCCGAAGAAATCAACAACAAAGACTTCAATGAGGAGGGCGAATTCGCTCAATACGAACGGACATGTGACCTCGAAGTGGGCCTTGTCCCCGGGGAGGCCGAGCTCGCCACCGTTGCCGGCTGAGAGTAACGGAACGCCGATGAACTTTCCAAGTAGTTTGAAGCCTCCGGCTAGTCCGTCGAGGGCTAAAGGTGTTGGGAATTTGATTAGCATGGGTCTTGATCTATTTAAGAGTAAGAAATCTTCTTCAAGTAGTTCATTACCTCTGGGGCTAGGCATGACAGAGAATGTTCATCAGCTCAGGCTGTTGCAGAATAGGTTGGTGCAATGGAGGTATGCTAATGCTAGAGGTGAAGCTATGAATAGAAGCTTAACTAATCAGGCAGAGGTTTGTGATATATATATTTTTTTGGTTAATAATATTTTTAGTCTCTAAATTATATATTTTTTTGTCAATTTAATGTTTATTATATTAATTTTGTCAATTTGATCCTATAGTATTCGATCCGTCTCACTTGGATCCCTAATCAAACAATTCGTTAAGTTTTTTAACTGAAGTGAATACGTGTCATTTTTTAAGATGTTATATCACGTGTCCAACACATGTTTATTCTGTCAAAAACTTAATGTTTCCTCTATGTGGGGACCAAAATAACACAAATTAAATACTTTAAGAACAAAATTGATATAATAACGATTAAATTGATAAAAAATACACACTTCAAGGATAAAAAAATGCTATTAACCATCCCCCCCCCCCCCCTATTAGTTGATTATTGATTCAAAAATGGTTGTCAATGGTGGATTGTATTGTCAATATGTTATGTTGTTCCCTTAGGCTCATATATATTTATGTTAGGTAAAAACTAAGCTTATTTTTGTAGCAAAATAGTTTTCAATTGATTTGAACTGTTGGTTCAATAGTCGGAAAAACTCATATGTCTTGAGTTTGAATCTTACTAGCTACATAAAACTTGGGTTAAACCGAATTATGTAGTTTACATACGTTTGCGTGCATTGAAGATCTGCGGTGCAGTCATAAGTTTAAAAGAGACATGATTGTCCCTAAATTTTGAGTATGTTAATTCAATGAATAAATAAAGCTTTGTTTAGAGTAGTTGTCGTAAAATACCATTATATTGAATCTGTCACATTCTTTATATTATAATCTAACTAACTATCGAGGTTTTTTTATGAACTCAAAAGGGTTACATGCAAATTTTGAACATGCTTTACGCAACTTCAATTGACTATATCAAGATCAGAGTGTTGCTTTTGCAAATAACCAAGCTTATTTCAATAATTTTGCAGAGTAACTTGCTACATGCTGGGGATGGACTTGCAAAGTTGCAACATTCTGTGCTACAAAAGAAGTTAGAGCTAGGGAAACAGAAGCTGAAAATGAAACTAGAGTTTATACTTCATTCTCAAGTCAGTAATCAACTCTATATATTACTAATGATCACCCACTAGTTTAGTTATGGTTTCATGTCATTTAAGATCCATTTGATGATGGTAAGTGGCTCATATGTTATGGATATGTAGGTTAAGCAATTGGAAGCTTGGGGAGATATGGAAAGGCAACACCTATCAGCAGTTTCTATGACCAAGGATTGTTTGCATTCTGTTGTCTGTAGGGTACCCTTTACAGAAGGAGCAACGGTAGGCCCTAACGCATTATTAAAAATATCGGTTGATACCAATTCAACTTAATTAAATCATGCCCACCTTACACTTTCTATTCCACGACCAACTCACATGTCATCCAAACCTCGAGTATTACTTGATTCATGCTTGATTTGAGACATTTATACATGAATCTCTCAGACATGTAGTTACTGTTCAATTGAATAGTGAGCACTCAACTTACTAATCTAAACTAGCAGGTGGAACCACAATCAGTTTCCATTTCAATGCGACATGCCTCAGATCTCGCAGCATCCATCAAGTCGATTTTAGCTACTTCTTTACCCGCGGTAGGCTGCATTCACTTGTCAATGGGCAGTAGTCATCCCTCGACTACCTTTTATTTTGTTTTAAGTATCCTGAAGTAAAATTTCAACAGGCTGAGAAGACAGTGTCGAGGCTGACTGAGTTAGCAGAGGTAGTGGCACAGGAGAAGTCTCTACTGGAAGAATGCTTAGAGCTGTCCAGGACTATATTGACACTAGAGGTTTTATCAAAAACTGCATTAGTCCTAGTTTCATACATATATACATATATGCTAATCATGGCTTTTGGCAACAATAAATATAATAATTGGCAAGAGGAAAATCTAATTATAAAACTCAAGTCTCAGAACAGAGTCCATTTATATTTTGAGTAAATCCTTTATATAAAGTTTTGGATTTTTTGAAATTAAATTCCAATTTTGTTCTGGTTTTGGGTGTACAGATGCAAGAGAGGAGCTTAAAGTGTAATGTTATTCAATTGAGACTATGGCAACAACAGCAGCAATACCATCACCAAACAGAGATAACTGCATATACTTCTTTTGTTCTCTGATTATAAAATTAAATACAGCAGCAGTGCATACTAGACAAACTGGAGAGAGAGAGAGAGAGAGAGTAGTTGTCAAGCTTCTAACAGTTTGACTAATAACTTTATGAATGTTTACCAACAATACCTAATTTCTCTGTGCAACACTGAATAGATGAAGAATGGCAAGTTCTTGTTTTCTCCTCTATATGTGCATGTAAGGACATTGCTCTGACTTAGTTGTTAACTAGTGTCCCAACATCATAAAGGTGTCAAACATTTAAGATTATCGTGTTGCAATTAAGAGGTCACTACAATCAGTGCATAGAGAATGAAATTTTGCGTGGAAAATTTATACCCCTTTTGCAAATCCGACATCCAGATACGAAGTTAATGCTAGTCCAAGTCGAGGTCTTGACATTTTCATTTTTTTATCTTTTGGTAAAGTAAACATTGTGTTATTTTGTGGTGCAAAATGCATATACCCATGAACGGCTTAGGAGCACTGGTTACTCCTAGAGATTAATCTCCGTAAACACCATTTGGTGCCTAAGCAGAATTTGGCTAAACAGAGCATTTACTGGTCAAGCAGCAAGGGCAACAGCCACAATTAGAGGGTAACATTGTTATCAAATGTGTTCTCTATCTTCGTACATTTATATCTACCGACTGCGAATTCTACATTAGTGATTTCTTTCAAAATTAATGTTACATCTTTATAAGCATTCTTGGAGAAGCAGTTTCCTGCATATCGAACTAAAAACTAGATAAAATATATCTTACTCTTCTTAGATGCCATAATAACTATAGGACCTCGTGTACTAAACTATCATTTATCTTTAAAAGTATTCGTGAATATTCTTGCATTTCTCTTCTCTACGCTGGTAGCAACCAAACAGAGCTTATGTACTGTAACTAAAGTAACCTCAGTGCGGTGACTTGCCCATCACAAACATGAAATATGACATTTGTTATTTCCTTAGAACTAACAAAACGAGAAGGGATCAATGTCTTTGTTTTACTGGTATCTTTTTCATTTTCACCATCACTCTTCATGTTTGAGGCCATTTTTGTTGCAAGGTAGAAATCACTAATTCCCCATCTTTGTGTTGTGCGACTAAGTTTTTGTTTTTCGCATTTTTAATGAAAAGTTGTCATTACACTTTCAAAGAACATGGAATTGGGGAGGATGGTTAAAAAACAAAGAGTACATCATTTAAAGTGACGGTTTTAAAATGTTATTTAAAGTGATGTTTCTCAACATAGCGATTTTTTTTAAAAAAGTTTATACATTTTGTAAATAAATTTTAAAGTGCACGAGTTTAGAAAAAAATAATTTTAAAGGCATGGGAATTGTAAAAATATCATAATGAAACGACTAAAACTATAGTTTGCTTTTCAGCCCTCAAATTATGCTAGTTAGCAATACCTATGGGACAGGAGTATATAATGTCAAATAATAGGGGTCGTAGTATAATTAGATATAACCCAAAGGGGTGTTTAGAAATTGGAAGGCTTCATTCAACTATACGCCGTCGTTGACATGCTCATGTCCATTTTCACCGACCATTCCTTCCCATTTTTCTTCATTTGCGTAGCTTGAAATCTCGAACTCTCGGTGGCTATAGAGTCTCTCTCTCTCTCTCTGAGTCATGGCTTCTTCGTGGGCGATGAAAACGGCTCGTCAAGCCTCAACCCTATCTCGGATCTCCTCTACCAGATCATCAACTCAATCCTCTTCCCTAATTCAGCGCCGTGGCCTTGCTGGCGCTGCTGGTACTAATTTTCTCTCTCTAAATCTCAGTGTAACATTCCGATGGATTCATCATATATATATGTTTGTAGATATACACACACAAACAAACAAACTCATGCGTTAAATTTAATGTTTGCTAATAATTTTTGTTGATTTGATTTGTGATTGTAGATCACCATGGACCTCCAAGAGTTAATTGTTGGCAAGACCCAATGAGTCCATCTAAGTGGAAGGAAGAGCACGTGAGTCTCTGATTTTTTCCTTTGAAATCCATGTTTTTTTGGGAAGATTTGAAAATAATACGGTTCGATTGCTATCCAATTTTATTATTGCGGCAAAGTGAGAATTTTGGAATTTCACATGAATTTTCAGCTTCAGGTTTATACGATTATAACTAGCTTATGATTCTAGATTTTTTTTTTTTTGCTGTTTTGAGTTCATTACAATATTAGTGATTCTTGAACTAATTCAAGTGGAAATAATTTGTACTCTAGTATGTGTATGTATGCCCACTTGTCCTGGTTGATGGGAGGGGTAGACCAGATACGCACCTGACCTCTGACAATATTTGCTCAAGCTGTTTGCTCTTAGACTCCAACTCGCATTCCCATGTGTAATAATCCAAGCACTTTACCATGGGATTAAGCAATGGCCGCTTATATTTGTCAATGAGATGTTATGGGTTAATTTGGAGGTGGCAATAACAAACTATTGAAAAAATCAACCATTTCTTATTATTTATTTAATCATCTCTAGGTATGGGGAGATTGGAGAGTTTGTTTTGGTGGATTTAGAATGAAATAAGTCACCTGAGAATTCGTTTTGGAGGGATCTGGAATCTTTGTATACCCATTGTTGTCATGCTTTAGGGTCCATGATGCTAGGTAATCATTATAAAATCAATGTAGATGAGAGTGCGTTGAGATAGGTGGTGTACGGTATGAAAAAAAGATGGAATAAGGAAAAAATACATTTGCGAGATTTAAAGGTAGCCTAATTGAGGAAAAGATGAAAAACAACCATAGGATTACATTATGTGCAGTGAAGATTAATGACCGAATTGGTGAAGTGGACGAAAAGAACATGGTTTAAGGTATGAAGTGAAGAAAGACAATATGTACGCGTTTATGACTTCTTGATTTTTAATTCTGGTAAAGAGTAAGACTGTGGAAAGACAAGCTTGCCTACAATTTAATGAAAGACATAGCTCTTGATGAAGCCTAAGGGGATTAAGATGATTAGTTGTACCAACTCTTGTAGCTAGCATGCAGGCTTTTCTAAGTTGTGTGAATATTTATAGTTGTACTGGGTCCTCCATGGAGATACCAGCATAGTCCGTGCTACTGAGCGACTGGATTTATCGAATCTTTAGATATGTGGAAATGTAGTTTTTAACCCGTTCAGGTCTATATTTATCAAGCCCTCTTCCAATGGGTTTGAGACTATGGGACAGAGGTATCTGCCTATTTTACTTCATGGCTATTTTTTCATTGATAATTTGCAGACACGTTATGAGATCATTTTAAACTCAAGTTCATATTTGGCTCTAACATCTGTTCTTGTGCTTCCTTGCTCGTGCTTGTCATGCTGTCTGAGCCAATTGTATTTGGTGTTATACAGAGCAACTCTTTGGACCATGAACAGCATCCTATGATGTGGTTCAAGCTTTGAAGTCCTGATATCTTCCTTTGGGATTGGAACTTCAGACTGAAGAAAGTTTAATGTTTATATCTTATATGTAGCAGTTTGTCGTGTTTTTGTAAGAGCAAATTTTTTCGCTTTGTAGAACAAATGAAAATTTGAAAGATGTTGCTGAAATTTAGGCGTTGTATATCTGACTCCCTGTGATTGTTCTTATTCCTCTCCATATTTATATAGCTAACTATAGAGTATGATTTTCTTTTTATTTTGCAACTAATTGCACTGTGCCTGCGAGAGCCTATGGCTTGGGCAACACTATGTGTTGCTAGCCAGGGGTTTATGCACAAAAAAACAAAAAAAAAATTCATTTTATTTTGAAGTGTGATGTTTACCTTGATTATTGATTCCGCTTTAGGGAATACTTGTTTTTTGAAGTAATGCGACCTGTTATATCTTTCTTGCTCTGTTTGTTTTTAAATATGGTGGACTTAGTACTGGTTTGATCATTCTATTTAACATTTCATTCGTTTCTTACAAGTAATTCTATCCACTGTTGTGGTGATTTTCTGAAATTATGTTGGTGCCATATTGTAAATTGTATTTATGATGGATCTTTTGCTTTCCAGTTTGTGATTATCTCTTTATCTGGCTGGGGTTTGCTTTTCTTTGGAGGATACAAGTTTTTTACTGGTGGCAAGAAGAACAAGGAAGAGGTACTTATTTTCTTTTTGCACATTGTGAATTTTATTTGTTATTCTTATAGCCTTGTCCTATAATCATATGTTAAAGCCATTTTTGCTTAGGATAAGAGGTTTATTGATGTTCCCCTTATCAAACCACCTTAATTTCCATTATAAACAACAATCTCCATTAGCAAAAATTAATTGACACCATGGATGGGGTCATAAATTTGTGGCAGGCCATTCTAAATGATCTTCATTTTCATACAAGTCAATAATCCCATTATGATTTTGGATTTAGCCCTAAATTGAAATTTTCTAAGTCAATAATTCATGTCATATTCAATATTACATCCTTTGAATGGGCCATGGCTCAAAAATCGCATGCAAGCCAAAAAATCACATTCAACTGGGCGATTCTTGGTCCGTCATTTCTAGTTAAAAGGTAACTTGTATTGGCCCTGCTTTTTATAGACTTAAAACCTCCTATGTTATGACCTATTAAAAAAAAAGACACTTTAAGATTGATTGTTAGATTGTGTGAAAAAATTTCTTTAATTTCAAGGTTCTGAAAAAAAGGCAGTGTTATTAAACCCGACCTAGCCTGGAGGGTCAACCCGGAAAACGGGTGCTTAAATTTGGCTGGGTTACTCTTTGGATCATCTAAGGAAAAACCCGTGGAGGATCTGTTAGACCCTGTTAGACCTGGGCGGTTTTTAGGCCAGCTGGATGATTATTTAAAAGCCGGTCAGGTAAGTTTCTTATAGAAAATCCAAAAATTCACAGCCTTAAGCGAACAAATCTCATTCTCTCTCAACGCTCTGTGTCTTTGATCCCCATCTCCCAATCACCAGTCACCTCATCGAACCACTGTCCACCATTGCAACATGCAGCTGAAAGCAAGCGCATCTTTCTCATAAGTCAGTTGTAGGCTCACAGATAATTTCCAACACCTCAGTCTCACTTCAAGGTCTCACCTCCTCTATTTGATCTCTTTCCTCATGGTTCTTCAGATCTTTCTTTAAAAATGGACTGCTTGATCCACTTATGCTTGTAGCAACAAACGTGGATTCAAGAACAATTGCTGTAGTTCTTGATCTTTTAATAATATAGTTCTGATTCGTTGACTTCAAATTTTTCCAATTTTGTTTATTGTCTATTATCATGCCTCTGTTGTCGATCGATTTTTGTGTGAGTAATTCTTTGCTTAATTAATTTGTGAGGGCCTATATCTTCAAATACAATCAATATGCTCACAATCAAATTCATATATCATATTCAAGTTTGATACTATAATACTCACAAATCACAATTTATTCATATTTGAGTATTATTCCACATTAATAATACTCTTATCACAATCTGTTCACTTTTTTTTTTGATAAAAAATCTGCATTGTGGGTGTATCTATTATTTTTTGTGAGTTTTTATATGATACCCTTGACATAAATGATGTTATTTTTGTTGTTTATAATTTTTTTTTTATTCTTTTACTATATAACCGATACGAACCATTGACCCGGCCCCCTTACCTGGTTGTTGTCCGGGTTTAATAACTATGCAAAGAGGAGAAAGTGCAATTTGGTCAAGTGTTGGTCATAGTTTAGTTATATGATTTTGCCCTCTAGCTTGTGAAATAATAAAAGCAAGGTTTAATTGGCATGTGTGCAATTGCTTGTCCAACTATGTCAATCACAACACATCTTTATAATCTTATCTTTTTAAGCGTTGGTGTATATTATGGATATGATGTACACCAAAGCTTAGTATTATTAGAACAATACTTGACTAACATGCTTTATACAATTGATTTTTTGGATATCAGTATTTAATACTTGACTGTCTTGTTACGCCATCGGATGAAGCCCAAGCAATTAGGCCTCAACTGGCATGGTTTATATTATTTTTTTTTGTTGTATACATATTAACCTAATAAATGTCTTGCTACTTCACTAAACAATTGTGTGCAAGAGAATTAGGTTAGTGAAAGAATAAAGGTATACATGGACTCAAATTGTCTTTACATGAATGGTTAGATTTTTCCCAAAGACATTTAGGGGTAGGACCGATAATCGAGTCGAGTTTGTCGAGTTCATTTTTTTTAAATGAGTTTAGAAAATTGTTCATCTCAAGTAGCTCGACTATTTTACATATAAACGAGCCGAGATGAGCTTAAAAAATTATATAAGTTCGGCTTGCTTAGAATATGAATTGACCTCGAATCGAATTTTATTCAAGCCAAACCCGAGTAACTCAGCTCAATTATCGGCCCTAAAATAGGGGGAATTATCACTCATCCTATTGTATGGCTAACATTCAAATGTTTTTACATAAGGCTTTTTTCTCACATGCTGTTAGTCATCATGTGATTTTAGCTCTTGCTGACTGATTGTTGTGTATTTGCAGAAATTGGTGGAAGCATCACACTAGGATTAGGGGGGTTTTCAAAGGCATCAAGCCAGAGGCTCGCTTCTAATAATGTGTTTACTTGGACTTCAAATCTCCTGAGATCACCTTTTCTTTGTATGGATACAGTTCTTTCTTTCCCCATCTATATGAATGACATTTTTTAGAATGACAAGTGATGGGTTTTCATAAGTTTATTACATTATTGTGAGATTTAGCTACATTGTGTGGACAGGAGGACGTGGTACAAGCATGTGTGAAAGTGATGAGAAATATTGCATGAACATGGAAAAATTTAGAAATGTGCACAAAAAGAGAGCATTCTTAGTAGTTTTGGTTATAATGTAGAAGCAGAGAGGAACTCTTCATTCGAGCTCTAAAATTTCTAAGTCGTAGCTAGGGTATCGATATTGCAGCAATCGCCCTCTCGGGTCGTCCTCTCGATAGTAGAGGTGACTACTATCATCACGCTAAATGGTATGGGCATGGTATCTCTAGAAATAAGCCAATGACGGAAAAAGCACCTATTGGGACAAGTAAGTTTTTCATTGTAGACTTGTTTTGATATTGGTGTGGTGTCGATCAAGTTCAATGATAAAGTTACATACATTTGGGCCATGGAGCTCGGGTGCTGATTATTGGATCATGTGCTCATTGTCCTTTTCTGCAAATCTTGACAAGAATTTGATCCGTTGCCGAATGTAATTAGTCGAATTAGGATATGGATTGACTTTTGATCGATAAGCTAAATTTGAAATTATTAAAATATATTATATGAATTTGAATATGAATATATGAATATTATTTTTGATTGCAATTTGATCGGTATAAGAAAAGAAGAAACTGAAAAAAATAAAAAATAAAAGTGTGTGATTATCTAATGAAATTAGGTTAAAATTCGGATAAAATCTACCAAGATTTATCTTAATTAAGCATCTAATCATTTTTGTATGTCACGTCTAATGATAAATTTATGGAAAATTTGAAAACCGGTCTCCTTATGTGGACTTATTTGGTGATAAATTTATTAAAGAAACTTGTTTAATAATAAGTTCATTTCGATCTCTATTGTCTAAAATATTCCTAGTAGTTATGTTTAATTACAACAAATTTAAAAATTAATAACTTCTAAATTTTAGGAATTTAATTAACATTAAAATTCTCCAAATCTCATATCTATCCATATCTATATGATAAATTAGCTAGTTATTTGAAATTTTATTCTCAATACATTTTTTCTCCTAAATCCATCACATCCTCTCTCACCTCACCTGTCACTCTATTGTCAGAGAAACTTATGGCGCACGAATGTAAATTTATGTACCACCTGTCGATTAATTAATGTATGTAATAAATGCATTAAATATAAGGTGAGATCAACACAGTCAATACACAGACGTATAATGGTTTGGTCAAGGTGACCTATTCCATTTGAAGATGGCAATGGTGGTTGGTGGTCTTATTGATGATGTAATAGGTGAGAGAGAAAGCAATGTTATGCTTTTGGTAGTTATGAGAGTGATAGTTGTGTAAGGTGTGTAGAGAGATGCCCCCTCTTGTATGAAAAGGACTTACAATTTATATGTATAAAACTTTAGTTGAGACGTGGCGTGAAGGGATAAGTGACTAGTCCACATATAGATTTTGATTATTTATTTCTCTTTCTCTCATATATATATATATATATATATATATATATATATATATATATATATATATATACATATAGACACACACATAATAACATTAAAAAATAATAATAACATTTAAACATAAAAAATAGTATCATTTAAACATAAAAAAATAATACTATTTTAACACAAAAAAGATTTTTAATTTAAACACACAAAAATAATAATATTCAAAAACAAAAAAAATAATAAAATTGAATATTAATATTTGAAAAAATAACAGTAATAACTTATTCAACAAAATAGTAACACGTTCATAAAAACAGTAATATGAATAGTGACATGGTAATATATATTATATCAATTGTTCTTTAAATTTGAATTTTAAAATTTATGTAAAAAAAAATTATTGGCATAACTTCATTGATAGTGAATTAAGGGATAATAATTGTCAAGTTAGAAAACTAATTTAAAGTTGCTTTTAATGAAAGATATTTTAAAGTTTTAAAAAAATAGTGAACTTAACTATTTATTAGTAAGATTATAAACAAATTTATCCCAAAATAAATGTCTTTGACGAATTAAACTCATTATAAATATTTTGAGGAGCACTTAACCCAATTTTCACTAAATTAAAAAGGGTTTAGGGAGGCCGGTCCTTTTTTGTAGACTTATTCGAACTTAAGTATACTCAAAAAATTTATTTACGGATAAATCCATTTTGATCTCCATTATCTAAAATACCCTCAGTCAAAACTTGTTTGAAAAAACTAACAACTCCTAAATTGAGAATTGTATTAGTATTAACAACTCATATTTTGGAAATTATACTAGCATTAAAATTATGTTTATATATATATATATATATATATATATATATATATATATATATATATTAAACAGTAGCACGCTCAACAAAAAAATAGTAACATCAAACAGTAACACGCTCAACAAAAAAATAGTAATATCAAACAGTAACATTCTCAATAAAAATTTAATCATTGTAACAGAGTGACACCCCACAACAGAATAAATACTCACATATAATGTCACTCTATTGCAATAATTAAATTTTTAATTAATTTTTTTATTGAGCATGTTATTGTTTGATGTTATTATTTTTTTGTTGAGTGTGTTACAGTTTGATATTACTATTTTTTTGTTGAGCATGTTATTGATTGATGTTATTATTTTTTTTGTTACGCATGTTATTATTTAATATTATTATTTTTTTGTTGAGCATGTTACTGTTTAATATTGCTATATACATATATATGTGTGTGTGTGTGTAATTAAATATAAATTTTGTTTGAAATTTCAAGATTCAAATAATACACAAATATTAAAGAAATATTGAAAGTCTTATATTTTAATATTTAGATATTAGAAATATAAAAATTGTTAATTACGTATACACTATTTATGATAAGTGTAATTATGAAATACATTTTTTAAAAAATTAAAAATATTTTAAAATGTATACTTATTGATAACTATTTGATAAAAAAAGAAAATTTAGAAGCGAAAGTTAAAACCAAATAAGTTTTAAAAAAATACCAACCTGCCATTATCAAAAATTAAAATTAGTAGCTCACTATGCGTGGACTACTTTCTTTCTGATACGACGGGCTCACGGCCCACGTTTAAGCTCTAAAACACTAAGTCGAATAGATGGGCCCCGCTTTATCGCGAACGACCATCGCGTTGTTGTTCTCTTTCAACAACAGTGCCCCATCTGCCTCTCTCCAACCTCATGTTCATGGTTGCTCACCAACTTAGCAAAACATCTGGATTAACAACAAACCCATTGCAGGGATTCCATCAATGAAGGCTGTGAACTTATGAGATTGAGGTAAACTTCATCAGCTCATCATACTAGCCGTATTGCCAATGTTCTTATCAAATAAATATATGAAAATTTTGTATGCTTATTCGTTCTAACATTTAATGCTTAATTGTTTCTGGGTTATGATTGCTTCGGCTTGTCCAGTAGATGAATTAAAGGTTGGATTTTTTGTCTCAATTATATATGATTGATCCATAGACTATACCTACATATAAGACAATGAGATTCTGCATTTCCTCTTTCTGAATATCAATCCAGTGCTGTTGTTAAGCTATTATAGTTTGTATTCATTGGATTGTCGTTTCTTTACTAAGAAGTAGCAAAATTCTAGGTACATTTTGTTGTTCTTGGTAAAAAGCAGAAAAATAAGTTGAAATTCTAAACTGTAGACGTTTCAGGGAAAAAAAAAAAAAAACTGGATGAGATTTGCTCAATTAGGTTGACTACAACTTTTTTGGATAAAAGTGGGATTTTTACCTTTAAAAATCAACAGAACATTAAAACAGCAAATTCCAAGTTTTACTTTCTTGCGTTTCCTTTGTCTTTTGAATGAACAAAACAATATCGCATCAATTTGTGAAAAGGGCAATTTCCGAGTTGGTGCACCTCAGCTCTCCCAGTGAAGGCTCCACTGGACCACTGGTGTCAATTCTCTGTCAATCATATATGTTTACATGATTCAAGTTCTTTTTGGCTACTTTCGAGCTTGAATTCTACTTTAGACCGATTATTTTGTTTTCATTTTTCTTAAAATTTTTACTCTTACTGTTGGCCCAATTAGGTTGGTTCTGTTAGAGTATTTATATTCTGGATAGTTTAGGCATTTTATATTGTTTTGTTGTCCTACTATATAAGGGTCTATATTGTGTATTCTACGTTAAGCAGTATTACAAACTTGTTTCGCAATAATAATATTTTCTCTTTCTCCTTTCGCTCTTATTTATTTGATCCAAGTTTTGTTAATAATATTTTCTCATTCTCCTTTCGCTCTTCTTTATTTGATCAAAGTTTATATGGTATCAGAGCATGGTTTCGATCCAAAATATATTGTAGCACCATAATAATTTAGTTGGAGAAAAAATATATTCTTGAATTAGTACCGACATCTAGTGTCTTATTTTTTTCGATTTCTTTACTTCATATCAAGCCTACGTAGTGCGAATAAAGGTTCTTGGTGCTAGGTTGTGTGATATGAGGGCTTGTGATTGGTGGGTTGCTGACTTTTTGTCGTTCTATGGGCTGTGAACAGTGCCAAAAATACTATTCACTAGGTGAACAGTGCCAAAAATACTGTTCACGAGATGCAAACAGTACCAAAGTTACTGTTCATGCTGTGAACAATGTCAAACTCGATTTTTAGTGTCATTTTTGTTGTGTAAGAAACCTCAATTTGTTATGGGTATTTGATTTGTAAAGCTGTCGAGTTGATTTGTGGTGAACTTTGAATTGTTTGACGTTGGCTGCTTCTTTTGGTTCTAGTTTCTGCTCTTGGCTTCGTTGGTATTCTCTTTGGGTCTTGTTGTGAGCTGGAGAACAGAACTTTGAATTTGCACCTATTTTGGACTATTGAGTTTTCGGCTATTTGATTTGGGCTAGTGCTGATTTGACCTTCTCTCTATTGAGCTGCTGGTTTGACTTTTCTTCTTTCCTTTGTTGGGCATTATTGCTGGTGGTTTTTGTTGGGCTATCCCAATCCCTTGAGTTTGTTGATTTGGGCTGGTGCTGATTTAAACTTCTCTCTGTTGGGCTGCTGGTTTGACTTTTCTTTTTCATTTTGTTGGGCATTGTTGCTAGTGGTTTTGGTTGGGCAACACCAATCCTTTGGGTTTGTTAATTTGGGCTGGTGCTGATTTGGACTTCTCTCTGTTGGACTACTGGTTTGGTTTTTCTTCTTTTCTTTGTTGGGCTTTGTTTTGTTGGACATTGTTACTGGTGGTTTTTGTTGGGCAACCACAATCCTTTGCGTTTGTTGATTTGGGCTTCTTTCTGTTGGGCAGCTAGTTTGACTTTTCTTCTTTTCTTTGTTGGGCTTTGTTTTATTGGACATTGTTGCCGGTGATTTTTGTTAAGCTTTGGTTTTTTGTTGGACCCCTCATTGCTATTTGGGCCTTAATTTGTTGAGTCTACACTTGGAGTTTTTGTTGAGTTTATTATTTTCTTCCTCTAAGTCTCCGGAACTTCGTGCTTACTCTGATGTGGACTAGGGGTACAACTTGAGTTGGACAACCCAATTTCAACTTGAAAAAATTAAGGCTTGGGTAAGGGTTTTTAATACTTGGGATGAGTTTGGGTCAAAAAATTCTAACCCGAATTCAATTTGGGTTGGGCTCGGCTCGGGTTCACGGGTTCAACTCGAACCCGACAAATTTAAAAAAAAATTATATATATATAAAGCATTAGTACTGGTTTTTTATTTTTGTTCTATCATTCTCTGTCTCGCTCTTTCATTTTCATTTTTGTTTTAGTATTAGCACTGTTAAAAACTTGGTTGAAGTTATTGGTTGTTAATTTAGGTGAATATTATATAATATATGTATTAGGTTTAAAACAATAAGCCTATTTTGGGCTCTACCCGAACTCAACCCGTAAAATAACCAAAAATCAACTCGAAACCAGCCCGAAATCATTAACCCGAATTCAACCCGAACCCGCCCGAATTAAACTCGGGCAGTGCTTGGGTTGAGTTTTTCAACTCGAGATAGGGTTAGGGTTGAAGATTATATACCTAGGGTTGGGCTAGGATTGACTATCTAACCCGCCCGAGTTGCACCCCTAATGTGAACTAAGCTAGTGACTCTATGGATCGCAAGTACACTACTGGTTTCTGTCTCTTCCTTGGTGATTCTCTTATTTCTTGGAAAAGTAAAAAACAAACTGTTGTGGCTCGATCATTTGTCGAAGCTGAGTATCATGCTATGACCTTCACAATAGCAAAGATAGTTTGGTTGCGTTGGCTACTTGCTGATTGTTTCTTTACGAAATCTCACACCATCGTACGTTTCCGTTTTCTTCTTAGCCACTCTTGATGTTTGATATTACCGCATCATAAGTTTGAGGGGAGATGTTAGAGTATTTATATTATAGGTAGTTTAGGCATTTTATATTGTTTTGTTGCCCTACTATATAGGGTCTACATTGTATATTCTAAGTTAAGCAGAATTACAACAATAATAATATTTTCTCTTTCTCCTTTTGCTCTTCGTTATTTGATTAAAGTTTACAGGTTCAAAATTGTGTGGTCCATGGACACTGTGGCCACAAAGTTTTTTGTGGTGTCAATTAATATTCTTTTTATGCTCTTCTGCAGTTGGTGAAGGGTGGGGGGAAGAGAAAAAATGTTAAAGTTGATGCTGGCTTGCTGCAAGGTTTACATATCTGAAAGCCGAAACAGGGCAGCATTGGAGTCAATTGAACGAGCTGCTACATTATTCCCAGGAGCTGCCATTATCAATAAATTTGAAGATGAGACTTACAATAGAGTTGGTTACACCGTTGTCTCAAAGTTGGATCCAAAGCCATCATCAGACGCGTGTTCGTTGAAAAGTGCCGTGTTTGCCATGGTGAAAGCGGCTTTGGAAGCCATTGACCTGGAGTTACACTGTGGAAGCCATCCTCGGCTTGGTGTTGTGGACCACATCTGTCTTCACCCTTTAGCTAGCACTTCTTTGGACCAGGTTGCTGGGAGTGCACAATCTCTGGCTGCTGATATTGGCTCAAACCTTCAAGGTTTGTTCACTTGTGGTTGCATAAATTTGTAGCTAGTTGTTAAAAAAAAAGTAAAGCATGCCTAAAAAGATAATGAACAAGAAATTAATTGTGTGGATTCTTTTGGCTGATTAGTAAGTAGCATTTGATCTTAGGTCATCAAGTGAATTATTCATCAGAAGAGAATTCCTGATTGGTCTCATATGCCAAATGTAGGCAGAGGGCAACAAGCCGTATTACTGCTGTTTTCCTTTCTTGATTTTTTTTCTGCTATTCTTGGTTTTCTCTCAAGGGTGACTTTAATATATCGTTTCCCTTTTCTGTTGAAAATTTCATGCACAAATGAATACTGGAATATATCTCTTATATGATATCTAAGTAGAAATGTTGATTATTACTCATTTTGTATTGCAATTCTGCATATTTTAGCATTGTTAATGATCTTAAGTATAGCCCGCAGTCCCCACCTTTTTATATGGAGCAGCAGATGAAGAGGGAAGGTCGCTCGATGCCATGAGAAGGGAGCTGGGATATTTCAAGCCCAATTTCAGTGGAAATCAGTGGGCAGGTGGGCCAAAATCCAAATTTTTGCCCCTAAAACCAGATAAAGGTCCAGCTCATGCAGTTCAAGCAAAAGGTGTTGTTGTAATTGGAGCAACCCGATGGGTTGATAACTACAACATCCCAATCTTCTCTACTGATTTTGCTACTGTTCGTCAAATTGCTAAGAGGGTAAGTGGGAGAGGAGGCGGACTTCCATCAGTGCAATCCATGGCACTTGCTCATGGTGAAAGTGTCATTGAGGTAGCTTGTAACTTGTTGGATCCGAACAGAGTTGGTGGTGAACTAGTTCAGCTTGAAGTGGAGCGGCTTGCTGGGGAAGAAGGCTTGGTTGTGGGGAAGGGATATTACACAGATCTTTCACAGGAAAAAATAATAGAAAGGTACTTAAAGTTGGGTTATCAGGGTGGGTAGGAAAACTGGACAAGCTACTAGGTTTAGCTTTGTAATTCTAGTTATTGTACTTATAGAATAAGACATGGCTGTTTTCATGCGTTAATCATCAGCTGAAGGGTATTTTTCCATTAGTCAGGCCTGTTCATACAACTAGATGCAGGATTGATGCTTCTAATTTCGAGTGAATTAATAAAACTTGACCACCGTACTTGTTTTCGGATCCTCATTGGCTTCATTCAAGGGAGGATTTGAATGTCTATAAGGTTATACTCTTGAGATCAACATAAATGAAGAAAATGAATCGTGCACGTGATTAGAGGGTGATTGCACATCAAAAAATTGTGGTTGAGCTTCAAGGCAAAGGATTGAGATAGTTTGCAGTCACCCAAAAAAGATAAAGAAACTGTGAGAATGTTTTCTAGAAATAGGAATTGAGGGCAGGCATTCATTATGCTCCTATAAACTGCAATTGAGGCCAAAATATCCCTAACAATCCTATCTGGTGAGGGAGAATGAGGGCCTATTGTTACTATATTATTAGAAAAACACACCAAAACTATCTTTTTACAGACTGTGGGTTGTTGGAGATGCTACTCCTATGGATTAAATTGTTTGAGGGAAAGACTACTAATAATTGACAATGTTCTCTGTAGTAGAGTTTAGCTAATCAACAAAGTAATTAAGACTGACAAAGCGATGAGTCGAATAAAATAGAGAATATCAAATTCTACATCGTAATTCACTTTCACAGATATTGGTTTTTTGATTTACAACAAGGCATGAATCATCATCTGAGTCTCACCAACTCTATAGTGGTTCCCATCCTTTCTTTCGTAAGGAGTAGTATACATTGCACATATAATAAATCCAAAAAAGAAAGAAACAAGCTAACCTGACTACTAATAATTGTTTTCTGTCAAAAAAGATAGAAAGAACAAAAATAAATAAATAAATAAATAAATTGGTTAGAATGTATATACTTGTCATGCCAGGACAAATGTCTTAATTTGTGGTTCACACCATCCCTCTCCCTTGTGCCATAGATTTTAGGTTGAGGACGGATGTTAGGTTGAAAAGCTCACCCACCCTTTTATTAATTGTATTTCTTGCTATCAACAATCTGAAACCCATGGATTGCCCCTATCCCACATTAAACTCCATCCTCATCTGTCGCAAACAAAACCGGTCCTGCTTATTTATTATGACAGTGAAACCACCCATATGATTGGTATTCCTCATAAACTATAGCCTTATCTGTTTGGATATATATATAGAGAGAGGGGTTCAACTATGATACCGAAAAATGATATTTTTTTCCCCTTATAATAAAAATTTTACACTCTTAAAAATTACTGATCTTATTATTTCACTTTAATTTAATATTTTCATAATCAATGGTCAAAAGAAAACTAAAAGAAAGATGAAATACTCAAAAGTATGGTACAAAAAAATTTTCTAACCATAGTGCTATCCATATATACATAAGAGAGAGAGAGTTCAGCTTTGTACTGCCATTGCTATTGCTACATGCATCTGTAGGACTACAATTATTTTAAGGTAGTAGGAATAATTTATTATAATTGAGGGTGACACGTTCAGGTTGTGGAGGACGGTGGTGTACAATTGCTGACTCGAAAGCATGCTCAAGCACTTCAAATTTGCTTGTATATACCTCTATATATCTTTCAGTTCTTCATCAAACAAAGGCAAAGCAGGAGAGCTGAACAGAAGCAGAGGGAAAACATGGAGTTCAACCCAACTTGCAAGGTAAGAACTCACCCATTATGATCTCTCTCTCTCTCTCTCTCTGGCAACAACCCACACCCACAATTTTTTGAGCAAATTCAGTGTACCCATCATGTTTTATTGGATTATTAGTCTGCAAGTTGAATGTATCCGAAAAATAGTTTCATAATCACTTGTTTCCATCAAGAACCAGACTTTCTGTGATTTGCCCACCCATGTTTTGTATGATGAAGCTTATCATTACATACAGGGATCAAGTTTGCATGTGGGTTTGATTTGCTTTTTTCTTCCCTTAAAAAGCACTCCAAACTTTTTCTTCTTATCTTTATATTTTTATTCTTGTTTCCCCTCCTTTTGAGATTGTGAATTGCAACTTGGGGTATTCTACTACCAAAAAAGAAATGCTTATCTGATTTCTACCCCATTCAAGTTCTTCCAACTTTGTTCTATATCTGTACTGTTGATTTTAGGGTTAAATGCAAAAAAACACCCTTGTACTTACAAGGGTTTGGCAGACAACCTCCCTCAACGTTAAATTGTTGCACTAGACGTGCTTAAACTACAATTTTTTATTCAAAACAAGACAGGCGTCGCATATTTAACGAAACATTACACACATGCGGCCAAAATAGCGACTGGGTGGCCAAATTTGTCAAATTTTTTATCCAAAAATCCAAAAATATCCCCTTCCCCTCTCCCTTTCCCTTTTGTTGTGTTTCTCTCTTTCCCATCATCACCGGCGATCAGTCCACCATCATCAGTCATCTCTCTCTCTTCACTCCACTGCCCAACACCCCAATCAAAATCCACTCACCAAAACAAAACCCTAACCTGAACATGGATGGCAACCCATCTCAAAACAACCGCCCATGGTACTCCACTACATTTGCACCCACCACCCCAATGGTGCTCTGTCCAGCCACAATGGGGGTTTTTTGCATTTAACCCTTGATTTTAATTTATTTTCTATTCTACAGTTATTTTTATGAAAATGTGAATGTAACCCATATTTAAAATCGTATTTACAAACTACGTTTTTAATACAAAATTTCAAACGCATATCTTGCAAATAAGTTTTTACACTGAAAAGCGTAGCTTAAACTCAATACTTTTGTGTAAAATAACCTTAAATCTAGAAATAAGTTAGAATTGAGATAGAATAAAAGTATAAAAAGCACAGTAACTTGGAACTTGCATAGATTAACATATTTACACTTGTCCACAGAATGGTCGGTTGTAATTTGTCTGTAGGACTCGTGATTTCACATATCCCCTGACGGGCCTGATCTATATGTGGTGCTTCAGACTGGGCCTATTTGTGAATCCAGTGGGCCTACACCAGCTCGAATAAGAAGTCAATGAGAAAATATTCAATGTAACGCTAACACTACATCGTTAATATCATGTGGTGTGACCGTTCAATAGAAATATAACAAATGAACAAATGGATCCCACACATTTAGTAATCACCCGTTCATGTCATTTGATAATCACCCCATGTAAAAAAGTGGGATCTACTTTATCCACTTAATTGTGTTTCTATTGGATGGTAATACCACGTGATATTAACAACGTGGAGTCACTACGGCATTGAATATTTACTATTCATTAACCATTATGCATCAATAAGTAGGGGTGTTCACTCTACTCTACAGGTAGGAAATATGATCTTTCGTCTTTTTATCCAATACTTTGCAGAAGAATTTTTTCTTGACCTATCCTACCCGATCAAGTGTGATATTCTTACCCGATTTTTGGCCAAATTAATCAAATAGGAATTCAGGTGAACACTTTTGTAGTTATTAATTTTTGGATCATTTTAACAATTCAATTAGATAACATGCATTAATTTTACAACACAATAAACCAGTAACACTAAAATCTAAAACAATTACAATAAACCACAAGAAAATATAAACATCAATTCATCATAATTATTGTACAAATACAATAACAATTATTTTAAGTTTAAACCATATGGTTAGGGAATTAGGGTTTTTAGTTTATCTATATATATATAAATAATTAATGTGAGTAGGGTAGGATAAGAATACAGAAATTAATGGTTATTCCACATTTTTACTTGATTTTTTCAGCTAGCCGTTGAATAGGATCAGGTAAGGTAGGAAATTGTGACTAATCAAAAATTTAAACACCCCTATCAATGAGGGTTGCCGTGGGCAGCATTCAAAGTTATAACTCTACTCTTTGATCGACCTTAAAATGCTATGATCAAGCATTAATAGTTGTAACGTCTGTTGCAATGATATTTTACGGTACAACTAACAACCGTTATTTGAAAGTACATTGTAGTAGATCACTATTTGTTAGTGATTTAAAATTTAAAAAGATAACTTTCTATGCTGGGCATAGTCGAACATTAGATTATTGGGGTGGGAATGGTAGGATTGAAATATTCTTGGTTTACAATTAGAAAGATTATACTAATAACTTTGAACTTTGACTCATCAAACTAAGGTCCTTCTGGCCCTCTAATCCCCACTCAAACACCTCCTACTCCTCTTAACTGACAGTGGTGGGATCCTAGTGTGTTGATCTGCTATTAATTTGAGTATGAAATCTTGCACTTTCCAACAGAAAAATAAAACTTTAACTCGACATTTCAAACAATCATCAGGCTTGTGGTAGTCCTCTTTGGGATCACTTTTGATATGTGCACACGTTGTAGCTAGTAGAAATGCATTTTTATACTCTTGCGTCTTCTATGTACTCTATTCCCTGTTTATATCAGGACAAGAAGAAAACGATGAAGCTATCCATGCTACTATGCTGCAAACTCTATATCTCTGAATCACGAAACAAAGAAGCTCTTGATTCAATCGAACGTGCAGCTAAGCTTGATCCAGAAACAGTTACTGTAAACAAGTTTGAGGATCGTGCCTACAACCGGGTCAGGTACACTCTTGTATCATATGTTGCTCATGATGGCACAGGGTGTCCCATTTATAGCCCTTTGCAACAAACTGTGTTAGCAATGGCCGAAGCCGCTTATGAAGCCATAAACCTTGAGTTGCACTCGGGGGCACACCCCCGGCTTGGTGTTGTAGATGACATTGTTTTCCATCCCTTGGCACGAGCATCACTGGAGGAAGCAGCTTGGCTCGCCAAAACTGTGGCAGCAGATATTGGCAACCGATTCCAAGGTGTGTATGGTAATGCATATCGAAATTCTCGTGTATGAGAAAGGCATCATCAGAATTTCAATACACATTAGAATGTTCTTGTCAATATCATCCAGTGTTTTGTTATAGGATACTGATTAGTGCCTTAATTTCCACTATTCGTTATATATGTAAGGGAACTTCAACAGTATCGCCGGCAGTATTGGTACCAAAATTAATAATTTTTTTGAGGTGTAAGTTACAATTTTAAAGGGTCATTTTTTATAATTAATCATGGGTGTCTATGATCGATAATAACCTTCTTTGAGTAGTTGTAATTTCTCTTTTTAAAATTGTAAATTTGTCATTCAAAGTAGTAACCGGCGGTACCGGTACAAAATTTTTTTTTCGGTATCGTAGAGTTTCCCTATATGCAAATGTATAGGGGAAAAACAATCATGTCCATACTGTCCTTGATTTGCAGTGTTCTTTTTAGTTCTATGTTTTCTTATCTTTATTACTTATATGAAATTATTGTCTTGCTTTTTTTGATTCAATGCAGTACCAGTATTTCTATATGCTGCAGCACACCCAACCGGGAAGGCTTTGGAGACCATCCGACGTGAGCTGGGCTACTACCGGCCAAACTTCATGGGTAATCAATGGGCCGGATGGGCCCAGCCTGAAGTTCTTGCTGAAAATCCCGATGAAGGCCCCAACACGGTGTCTCGTGCCAGAGGTATTGCGATGATTGGTGCACGTCCATGGGTCGCAACATACAACGTTCCAATCATTTCCATAGATGTCTCGGCTGCTCGACGGATTGCATTGTTGGTAAGTGCTCGAGGTGGTGGGCTGCCTACTGTGCAAACACTGGGCCTGGTTCATGGTGAGGACTCGACCGAAATAGCTTGCATGCTGTTGGAGCCTAACCAAATTGGCGCGGACCGGGTCCAGAGCCGGGTTGAAATGCTGGCTGAGCAAGAAGGCCTGGATGTGGAGAAGGGTTACTTCACTGATTTTTCACCAGAGATGATAACTGAAAAATACATGAAATTAATCTCTGCTGAATCTGACTAAGGCAGGATTGTACAAAATATCTAATAACAAATGTTAACCAGCTCAAACCTGTTGAGCTTTCCAATTCTCTCTCTCTCTCTCTCTCTCGTGCGTGTGTATACATCCACTTTTACAGACGTGTGTTTGTGTGTTTTAGGACATAAGACATGGTCATTCCCATGTTTTAACTGATACAATGCATTTAACTTGGTGCTCTTGATGTGTATTACATTCACACGGGTGAATTCTTAGCAAACTTGAAGATAAAAACTTGATTGGATTATAGTCCCATTCTTAATCTCCGACATGGACAGGACTGGATTATAGTCTATACTTAGCAATCTGTCGGATCCATGTCGAACAGGATTGGATCAACCCATTTATTATGCGGGTATTGCAAATCAACTTGGTTAATTGTAAGGGATGAAACCCTCCACTCAGGATTTCGGCTTGACCTCCGCGCGTTCGGGAGTAGCCTTTACCCCTCTTCCTGAGCCGGAGCCCTGGCCTAGCCTAATGTGGGGAGGGCGCACCGTATCCCACATCGGAAGAGAGTCGTCTTCCCCCCTCGCATATAAGCCCTTGCACTCAAAGGAGGAGGCACCTGATTAGGTACTAGTGGGTACCTCCTCCTTTGAGTGCAAGGGCTTATATGCGAGGGGGGAAGACGACTCTCTTCCGATGTGGGATACGGTGCGCCCTCCCCACATTAGGCTAGGCCAGGGCTCCGGCTCAGGAAGAGGGGTAAAGGCTACTCCCAAACGCGCGGAGGTCAAGCCGAAATCCTGAGTGGAGGGTTTCATCCCTTACAAAAAGTGGGTACCTCCTCCTTTGAGTGCAAGGGCTTATATGCGAGGGGGAGAGACGACTCTCTTCCGATGTGGGATACGGTGCGCCCTCCCCACATTAGGCTAGGCCAGGGCTCCGGCTCAGGAAGAGGGGTAAAGGCTACTCCCGAACGCGCGGAGGTCAAGCCGAAATCCTGAGTAGAGGGTTTCATCCCTTACATTAATCGACTTGGTTATAATCCAACCCTGTTATGGTTATAATCCAACCCTGTTAAGATTAAAACACACGAAGTAACTTCACGTGTATTTTGTGTCGTATTGAGTGAACCAAAGAATACCAGGGCTTGGTTAACCCAAGTGATACGAGCTGGCCTTCTGTATGGGAAAGGTCAGGGGTGTCAAACCCCAAGGGCCGGTGGTGGTGGAGTTGGAAATGCTTGGACCCTACAAACCTAGCAAAAAGAAATTTTCAAAACAAGCTGTAGAAAGAATAATTAACAACTTGTAATTTCACATAATTAAGCACAAAATTTCAAAATTTTACATCAACATTGCAATATACGGATACACAATGTACATTTGGGTTACCCAACTCCCTTCTTTGAGAGAGGAAAACTATTTTCTTCAAAAGAAACTGGAAACAGCTCCGTGAACGGCATCATAAAACCAGATGGCTGAACTATACAGATTGCATCACCATCTGAGCTCCAAAAGACAATGGCCAAAGGTGGGAAGAAATTTTGAGTCTCACCCTTTAGCCAAACACTGCTTGGCACGAAAATCTTCAGACAACAGTTTCGAAAATAGATCTTGCAACCTCTTGGCACCAGGGCCGGGTCTAAACACTGACTCATCACCACGCAAGGCGCAGGGGTCAGCCCCACCATCTGAACTTCCAATACACCATGCCCCAGGTGCAAACCGATTTGTGCGGTCTAGCAATTCTTTGTCAATCTTGTCCAAAACTTGGTCATCCTTGTGAAATTTTCGAGCAAATGGGGCACTGCTGTTGACCATTTGATCAAAGTCCTTGATTGACAACGAAAGAGGATGCTGCTTCGGAGGATTGTCCCAAGCAATGTAGTGCAGATCATGGCTTATGGCAGTGTTACGGAACTCTTCCGTGTTGCAAATGACAGTGTGAAAATAGCCTTCTGGAGAGGAGAGGAAATTTGTATAATACATAAGAATAGTTCGTGGAAGGTTATCCCATCCCCATATACAGTATTCCACGAAGGACCGGGTTAGCATCACCCATGCTGACCCTGCATAGGAAGCAATTCTGTATTCAAATGTGCAATTCATGAATGGGCATCATCTATTTCATGTCATGCTTCGGGACTCCTAAATATTGACTTTGTGCTTGTGCATAAGAACAATCAAAACCATAAAACAAGAGAATTCTATGCTTGAGCCTACTGAAAGAACATAATTTTTTCAAGTGAGCTGTCAAGCTAATTAAACATCTAGTAAAGCTGCTAAACTTACGGGACAGAAATTAACTGGAAATCAGAATTGCTTCATTTCAACAAGCACATGCCAGCACAACACTCGCTGGATTCAAATATATTACAATGTAAAGAACAAACACGGTCACCCATTGTTCATGTACAATACATAAAAATCAATTAGAAAAATAGTGATCACTTTAACTTCACGCAATATAAAACAGCGATTAGTAGGACGTGTAATGACTTAAACAACTACGGCTATGCCATGGAAAAGTAAGGAGGAGCCAACGAGCCCTTTTCCAGTTAAAAAAAAAAGGTTTGAAAAGGAACAATTCCAGAACAAGACAAATTTCCCACTGATCCTCAACAACATTGCAGTCAAAATTACAACACTCCAATTTAGCATTTGAACCTGATGAACACTTTGATTAGTTTTAAACTTCATTTACAATTCTATGATTTGAAAGTATTCTTATTCACAAAAGTTCATTGAGAGAAAGACCATTGGCAGACAACCCATATGTGCATTAAAATTGTAGTCCATGGTTAGACAAAATTGTTGGGTTAAGTCAACTTACCAGTAAACACTTTAAAGGACGTGGGAAGAGATCGACGCTGAGAAGTCGATGCAAGGTCAGATTTCTTGGACAAGTACAGACCTGGATCAACAATGATTGGCTTTGCTCTGTGATTTCTGCAAATATGTAAGAGGGTTATAAGACAGTAGGCTTTTCATATAAAATTAAAAGGGGTCAACTGTACTAGAGCCAAATGTAACATTCTTACTTACAGTTTCCACCCAGAAATCTGGGTGTGTTCAATGAAATTGAGGTTTCTGGACATATTAGACAAAACATGAAGCAGATCTGCATAAGCAGAATAAAATAAGATTCTTCTTAAGCAAAAAAGCTGAAAAAATACAAATCATTGAAATGATTTCAAAGGAATACATGAACCATGTAACATGAGATAAAACAAGAGACTATGAAATGCTGAAGCCTGTTGATGTCAATTCGATCAAACAATATAATGATGTGAATTAATTGCAGTCCAACGAAATAGAAGTGAGCAAATGGATCCTTTCTGAATGCATGTATGCCACTAAACGTAGCTCACGTGCAGCTGGCAATCAACAATGGCAACATTGTCATATCAATTACTCTAGCAATTCAGTTGTCACTAGCATGCCCCATTGTAGCCTAGACCCAAGATCGGTCATGTGATGGGAATATCACAAGTCCAGCAGGAACGGGCCATATTGAGCCATAGCAAGAATAAGCATTATGGTTACAGGCAGGGTACCTGCTGTCATAAACATTACCCTTAGCTTGGTGGAATATAAGCGGAGCGGAGAAATGTTTAGCATCTTACCTTTTCCACAGTTTAAAGAGGAGAGGAAGAAGAAAAACTTAAGGTATACGATCAAAGAAGAAGAAAACCAAAGCAACAAATAAAAAAAAGATTCCTGGAAACTTTTTCGTTTTTGTTTTTAATAAACATGTGATTTGCTTTTCATCAAGTAGGAAACTTTTGTGGGGGCTTTAGATCCACAAGAGCTGTATTTTTTTGGGGCACAGGTAAACTCATTGGCCCCAAAAAGGCTGAGCAGAAAACTGAAATGGACTAGGGCTGGTTAGGACTTGTTTAAGTTGTCCCAGTAATTTACATTTGGGAGAGATATATGGGTATGCAGAGTTGTTGATGAGTTGGACACGCTCATATATCACAGTCCACAACAATAGCATTTCTTTTTGATAAATGCACGATTGAAACATGAAATTCTTGCCCAGTATTTTGCAAGTACATCAATCCAGACCCATTCCACTCTTGGCTCCCCTACGAAGGATATCAAAACATTGCAAAACCTTGAAAATTTTCATATCACTAGGAAAGGGCTTCAAAGTAATATTGGGAGATCTTAAGCCCAATTCAACTCCACTCAATAAAGCCAGTTAGCCACATAAATCCTTTTCCACCGTTCACCTTTTTCAAGGTCATAATCTTTCTTAAACCACAAGATTTCTGAGAAAAATAACATTGAGTAAAACACACTTGTTTAGCTTTAAACAACTAATAAGAACATTTTTCTATCTATGAATCACATGAAAATGTTTAACAATAGTTACTTTATTCCTTGTCGGTCTTATTTAATGGCACATGAAACTTACTCCTGTCGTCTTTTTTTTATCTGCCTGAAATTTTGATTACCACTACTTATCTGCACTTCTTTTTCAAAACAATATTTATGCTGTATATTTTCCTGAATGGCCTCATTATTGCAACGATGAAAGTGCAAGGCTCCTTGTTTCTAGAAAGTATCTCTATGCACTATCTTCTAGTGAATGTAAGCCAACAATACCTTCCAATTCATTAGCACTATTAAACTAGAAAAAAAAAAAAGTGCACCAAATGTGTTTTTTGTTTTCTATATGGGCAAAAATAAAATCGTCACCATGTTTTTATTCGAAAAACTGAATAACCAACTCAACAAAATAAATTGGAAACAGACAAACAAACATAAAACAAAATATTACAATTTATTACATAAAACAAAATATTACAATTTATTACATAAAACAAAATATTACAATATAACAAAATAAATCTGGCTGTATTGACCTCACATTTGCCTTCTAGAGTCCCACCTAGGAGATATGGGGCCATGTTAACATATTCAAGAGCATCTTATCCACAATTTATGCATGAAATATAGCCAAGTGCTATTGACCCCATCCACCAACCAAAAGGGAAACACCAAGCAACAGCAGACAGTTAGTTCCACCAAACAAAGTATTGATCTCAACCACTTAGAGTGGTTTACTTGAATAGTTCTAAAATTCTCAATTCACAATGAGGATGCCACAAAACAGCAGCAACAGACTCATCATAATTCTTACATTCTCGGTTCACTCTGATTGTACTAGATCAAACACCCCAAAT